TAGATATTGTTTGAGCAAAATCCTGGAAATAGTGACATTAAATTAAATACAATTTGGATCCTAAAATAAGAAGCCTGGAAAGGATTTTAAGCATTCATGTATCTATTTAATACATTTATGTGTTATATTTTTTATCACAGAGTAGGGAAAAGCTTTTCTGAGAGGTATATGAAAACCCAAATTAGGTGTGAGATGAGGATGGAATACTAGGAAAAAAAATGAGCAGAATGATAAACCTAAGCAAAGTGAAAAATCTATGGGACAAATCTGACCAAAGCAAAGACACAAATCCAAAAGACCAAATTCACTGCCATTGAATCAATTCCAACTCATAGTGACCCTGTGAGGTAGGACTGCCCTTGTGAGTTTCAGAGACCGTACCTTTTTGCAAGTGTAGAAAACCTTGCCTTTCTCCTCAGGAAAGACACAGGAGATGGTGTAATCTCCATCTATTACTATTATATTATTCGCTTCCCAGCAAAGTTTTACATAATGTATGGATATGGAAATGAATCTTTCCTCTACTGCAGATGCTGTTTTGTTTGACAATGCTTCTAATATAATGCCATCACTTAAGGAAATACTTAGAGGAAATAAATGGGGGAAAGAAAGAAATAGAATTAAGGAAAGATACATCTCAGAAAGTGATAAAGACAGTAATAAATAACATAAAAAGAAAAATAAGTGTTATAAAATATAATTTTAAAATCTGTTTTATATATGTAAAATGTTTTCTTCATTGCTAAAATGAGAAATTCTTCTTTGATGTGAGTTGTATTCTGGGAATTTAGGCTATAGTAGGAGAAAACCCCACAGACATGTCACACAACATTTGATTGCCCTCTACTAAGTGAGCAGGACAAAACTTTTGGCTGCTCTGTTTTATGGATAGAAATGCTATTTTGTGGGCAAGCCTAATATAGATAGGATAACCTCTGAAATATGACCTACCTCAAAACATACCCTCATACCCTTATCAGAAGACAGATTTATTCTGTACAACATGCATTTATTTCATAATCACTTAGAAGAGTATAATTAGGGGGCGGGGGGGGGGGGAAAAAAAAAAGAAGAGTATAATTAAGTGGTAAGGAGTCTTGCCTTTAGTTGATGAATTTAATAAGAGCAAATTGAAAAGCATTTGCTATTAATGGTATAAAACCTCTCTTCTGAAAGGTACTCAAATAAATCATGTTTTTTAAGATTCCGTTTTACAATTTATCTTATGTTACCTTTCAAATTATGTTGATATCCAATGGTCTGCTGTAATCCTTTTATCATATTATGAAGAGTAGTGCATTCTAAAACATAAAAGATAAATTGACATGAAAAACCCCTTGCTTTCATTTTGAATTATTTTCTGAGTCAAAGAGTCATAATAATGTTTAATTGTGAATACAATACCTTACTGACAAAACCAGGTATCTCAAAGTAAAATACATACTAAATATTTTTAATCAGTCTTAAATTAAATTGCATTCCAGAATTTATAATGAGCTTCTAAGACAGTAGAGAAAAGAGCCTCCCCATGTACAAGTACCCTGTCCTAGAAGAATGGCATGTTTAGACATGACTGGGAAACTGTAACCCATAGTCTCTAACTAGCAACCCCAAGGAAAGAAAGTCAAATTGTCTGAGTGTTGTTCAAAAATAGAGGGCCAAGGTGGGTGAGAAGTTGTAATTTGGTGGGATGCTTTTTAAAAAACTATCTTTCATCCTAGGCAAGTGAATAGCATAAAAGGAGTTAAAATTTAATGAGTGGGGTTACAAAAATCAGAAAATTGGGTGCCAATACCTTCTGCCATAATGGGGGATAGACCCTTCATTGCAAACATCAATGCCCTGACCTGTGTCCTCTAAATCTTGATTATATTCTTGGTTCCCACCAGTGTCAGCAATATTTTAGATGGATAGTAACAGTGGTGGAAATGGCTGCTAGTTTTAGCCATCCACTTAGCTAATAAGCTCTACAAGAGCACAGACTATTATCTACTTTGTTTACCATTATTCTACCTACTCTGTTTCCCCGAAAGTAAGACAACTCCTGAAAATAAGACCTACTTACAGTTTTGCCTCTTGCTGAAATATAAGACACCCCCCCAAAATAAGATCGCCTGAAAATAAGGCCCCCCGAAGCTACCCTAACTCTGGACTCTGGATTGTAGCGGTGGGCGCCACCGCGCAGCTCACTGTTGGCTGCAGCGCAGCCAGAGCAGATAGGAAGTGCGAGGTCTCTTTTAATAAAACAATAAATAATAAATGTGTACTGTATTCTTCTTCATGGAAAAATAAGACATCCCCTGACAATAAGACCTAGAACATATTTGGGAGCAAAAATTAATATAAGACACTGTCCAATTTTGGGGAAACAGGGTAGTACCTATTATAGTGTGGTTCACAGTAGGCTTTCCACAATCATCTGTTGAGTGACTGATAGATAAGTGATATCACAGTAAGCTGGAGCAGGGAAAGTAGAGAAGCTCTGGCTTTAAAATGTTAGCAAACAGCAAATAATCAGAGAAGCTGGACTATAGGAAGAGGAATGAGACATCAGGATTGGTGGGAGGCTTATTAACAGCCTTATGCTTAATGTTGATCTCACCTTAATGAACACAACTTAACAAAGAAGGTTTTCTTACTGGGATTTTACAAAGAGGTGCAGCTACTTGTCCAAGATTCCAGTTAGAAAATAGCCTGGGCTTGCATCTAAGTATTTTTCATTCCACTATTCTTAACCCACCACCTTGACATTCCATGAAAAACTGTAGTATGTGTTGAAACCTGTGCATTTGGAGTCCGAGAAGCTAGTTTAGTTTTCCCTTTTCCACTTTCTGCCTATGAGACTCGAGACAAGCTACTTAACTTGAGCTTTATAGTCATCATCTTCAAAATAAAAGTATGATTAATACCTTATTAGAAGAGTGTTGTGACATCCAAATGAAAAAATATACTCTCTCAGTTTACTCACAAATGTTTAGCATTATTGTGGCTGTTATTTTCTCCTCTGCCCCCTTAACAATTTGCACAGACCTCTTTCCCCCATTTTTATATTGCTTTAATTATTTGTGGCCTCTTCCTCTAGATGGTGAGCTTTTTTCAGGTAAAAGCCATCTTTATTTATCTTGATGTCCTTTGCATTCAGCATGACAACTAGTTCCCGTGCTCGGTAGTTTTTAATTGCTCCATGAAAGAACAAATAATGGAAAGGGTGAATGCAAAACTTTTCTCCTTTTACCTAGGGGTCCTCACTCAGTCACTATTTGCTTTCCTCATCTACGCTAATAGAAAAGAAAGTGTATAAACTTTATGCAGGCTCAACTATTGTAATTCTTCCTAGTCTACCTTTCCTCCATTCCTGTACGATTCACTAGGGAAAAATTCTCATCATTTTGAATTTTCTTTCTTGGTATTTCCTACAAATAGACAGCTAAGACACATATGTTAGTTA